GGGGGGGGGGGGGGGGGGGGTTCTCGAGGCTGCGAGCCCTTGACTTGCTAAAGCAAGAGCAACTCCAGCTAGCTGATGCTAGCTTTCGTGATAAGGGAAAACCAAATTCCCCCCAAGAAGGTGTTAGCAGGTGATCCACTTTCTCCTGGGTAAATTGGGTAAGGTCACAGAAATGGTCTCCAGAACCCCAAGTCGCGGGAAGTCTCTTCCAGTCCGATCTTCCCGAGGTGGCGTGATGATGCATGGCGTGATGATGAACATCCAACATCCTCCGAGATCATCTGACCAACGAGGTGCCTCTTTCATGAAGGGGTTTTTGGAGGGTTTTATCGTGGCGTTTCAATGCCCAAACACTCCAGGTATCGGACAAAACGATGTAACATTGAGCTGATTTTTCGAAGAGGTGTGTGAAACGCAGGTCATTCCTTACGATGTGTCGCCCCAACTCCGGCGTCGCCCCACCGTCCACCACTCCGCCCGAACTCCGGCGGCGCCGGATCGGTTTCGCCTCAGTGCTTTCCCGAAGCTTCTGTTCTTCGGCCTGCGGCGTCCACCGCCGTACAATCCACCGCCGGTCAGCGAAGGGTCACCGTCAGCGATGAACAATGACGAGATGACCCGGTCCGGCGTGTGAGCCGATGACCCGCTTGGAGGGGTTCACCAGGACTCCAAGACAGAAACCATGGCAAATAGAGCATCATATGTCTGGCTTCACAAGGACTGCTCCTCAAAATACACCAGGAAGACGACGACCCCAACACCCCTCGCCATGAGCATTGCCCAAACACATGCCAGCACGGGTCAGTTTGTCACGGCCGACAGGAATTGTCATGAGAATTCATGGCCCAAGACTCATCACATGAGTGGGAGACACCAAGCCGGCCCATACCAATTTGTTGTAAATACATGCACATAGAGTATACACTGAATATAGATGAATATAGATATGATATGATATGATATGATATGATATGATATATGATATGATATATGATATGATATATGATATGATAT